GTCACTCACTGTAGACAAGAAACTCGGTCACTCACCAAACCAAACCAAACCTACTGACTTCCAACCACCATAACCTAACCAGGCCTAATTAGTCTTGCTCCAAATAGGACCAAATCATAATGGTCTGGTCTGGTTTTGTGGGAGGGAGGGGGGGGGGCGGTGGACCACTGACCATGGACCATAAAAAGGACTTAAGTGGTCCTTAACACCTCGCCTCTGTTTGTCTTTTCACTGTGGTTGAATTTTAGGTAATTTTTTAGGGGTTTTTTAGGGAAAGTTTTAGGGATTTTTTTTAGGGATTTTTCTAGGGATTTTTGTAGGGAAAGTTTTAGGGAATGTTTGACGTCATATTGATCGTCATTTTTGTTTCCTTAATAAAATGGTCATCATGTTTACTCTGACGTCATCTTAAGGGTGAAGGGGAGGGGGGATGTGTTGTGGTGTGTTAGGTGATGTGTGTCAGGTGTTGTGATGTGTTGTGGTGTGTTAGGTGATGTGTGTCAGGTGTTGTGATGTGTTGTGGTGTGTTAGGTGATGTGTGTCAGGTGTTGTGATGTGTGTTATGTATTATCGTGTATATGAGGAAGATTAAAATATGCAAAAAATAAATAAATGAGAAAATCTTATTGAGAATTTCCTAATAATAAAATAAAAAAGTCAATATATATTTTTTTCACACTATATTTTTTCCCATAACCTCACCACCCTCACCCCCTCCAACCCCTTGTACCAACCTTGACCCCCCTCCAACCCCTTCTACCAACCTTGACCCCTCCCCAACCCTGTACCAACCTTGACCCCCCAACCCCTGTACCAACCTTACGACCCCCCCAACCCCTGCCAACCTTGACCCCCAACCCCTGTACCAACCTTACGACCCCCCAACCCCCTGTACCAACCTTACGACCCCCAACCCCCTGTCAACCAACCTTACCAACCTTGACCCCCTCCAACCCCTGTACCAACCTTACGACCCCTGCCAACCTACCCCTGACCAACCTCCCCTCCAACCCCTGTACCAACCTTACGACCCTCCAACCCCTGTACCCAACCCCTTGTACCAACCTTACGACCCCTCCAACCCCTGTACCAACCTTACGACCCCCAACCACCAACCACCCCCAACCCCTGTACCAACCTTACGACCCCAACCCCTGTACCAACCCCAACCTCCAACCAACCTTACGACCCTCCCCAACCAACCTTACGACCCCTCCAACCCCTGTGTCCCCAACCCCTGTACCAACCTTACGACCCCCCCAACCCCTGTACCAACCTTACGCCCTGCCCCTCTGTACCAACCTTACAACCCCTGTACCAACCTTGACCCCCCCCAACCCCTGTACCAACCTTGACCCTCCCCAACCCTGTGCCACCAACCTTACCAACCTTGACCCTCCCCAGCCCCTGTACCAACCTTACGACCCGTACCAATTACGACCCCTCCAACCTTGGATAACCTTGACCCCCTCCAACCCCTGTACCAACCTCCTCCAACCCCCAGACCCCGTACACCAGACGTTATAGTGGGGAATACTGTGGTGCTCTTGTCTATTACTTGTATAGGAGACGTGATAGGAGGCGTGATGTGTGTTCCTGCCTGATAAATAGTTCCTGTTGTTTTGGTTCCGTGTTATTTGTGGTTAAGAAACTGTCTATCATCTTACAGTGTTCATTGTTATTGTTTTGCTTTTATCTATAATATTTTTTTATTAGTTTCTTTGTGCTTTTCATTATGTCTTTGTTGTTATATATATTTGTATTAGAAAGAAAAGCCATTTATATAAGGGAAGTGATGAAGGTATGTTAAGAAAAACTACTTGTAATTTTATGTTAAATCATTTTCCTTTTTGCCATGGAGGAAACACCTGTGTGTGTGTGTGTGTGTGTGTGTGTGTGTGTGTGTGTGTGTGTGTGCCCTAGGAAAAAAGAACTTGTGTTTTGATTATGTAAGACTAAGGCGCTGATCTTCATTTTTTTTTTTTTGCTTTTTCCCTTAATGGCCGCGAAATTTTTGAGAGCTTTTAGGTATAGTTTTCCTGATACTTGACTAGAATTTTTTTAGTGGAAGAGAATAACAACCCAAACCCAACCTAACCTAACCCAACCCAACCTAACCTAACCCAACCTAACCCAACCCAGCCTAACCTAACCCAACAAAGGTATGTATTCCAGTGGTGGTGGAGAGCCAACACATTCACACGTTAACCTCTCCCGTAATTGGAGACGTGACGGTAATTTTAACGTAACACAAATCTCTGAGAGTCCCGTAATTGTGCCCAAGTTAAAACGAGCCAATTATATGAGTTCTTAAACCCCTAATTACGGGAGAGCAAATTAACCTTTTGAGTGTTTGAGAATACGAATCTTCTGTACGATAGTTATTTTGTGGGGGATAATTTTACCTAAGACCTATTGTGTGAATCGAGTTATTTACATCCTTAGTTAGCTTGAGAATTTTTAACTCAACATTATTGGTTAGGTTAAGTTAGATTAGATTAGGTTAGGTTAAGTTGAGAATTTACCTTAGGAATGCTGGCTAGATTAGGTTAAGTTAGATTAGGTTGAAAATTTTACTTACGAATACTGGTTAGGTTAGGTTGATAATTTAGCTTCCAAATCCTTTTAGTTGGGATATCTAGAGACAGGTTAGGTTAGGGAGGCGTTAGGAGACAGTCATCATCCTAAAGCAACAAATCGCCGTAAGTCATCATCGTGGGAGTAATCATCGCCTCTCTCTGATGCTACTCCGCCATAATCACCACACGGCTCCATTAATAACCAATTGGCCACGGTTGATCCTAATAAATAATGTTCATTAGCAAAGTTCCATTGTTATCATCCTCTTGCTACAACAAAATTGGCTTCTATTAAGTTGAGGGTGTGTGTGTGTGTGTGTGTGTGTGTGTGTGTGTGTGGCGAGAAGGTAATGTGTGTGTGGGTAATGGCTTCCTCCTTCTCCATCTCTCTTTCTCCCCTCCTCCTCCCCCCCCTCCCCGGCCTGTCCTTCGCCTTTGTTTATATTTCTCGTTTTCTTTGACGTCTGTTCCAATATTTTATTTGGTTTATTATCGTCCCCAAGAATTTAAGTCTTTTTAATATTCTATCAACTTTTTTTTTTTTGGCTTTTTTTTTAATATACAACTTTTATTTCTTTGTACTGATATATGATATACCTGTTGATATATTTACAGTATATTTATTTAGTATTTGTGTAGGCCATATAATTTTTTTTATTTTTTCCAAATTTGGTGACGTCATATCCTTTTATTATTATCACCGAGGTTTATTTATTTGTTGAAATAGTATTGATGACATTGTGGTTATTTTACCCAGTTTATTTGTGGTAGTTGTGGTGGTGGTGTAATTTTCGAGTAGTGGTTTGGATGATAGTGTTTAGGAATTGTGGTAGTGGTGGTTGTAATAATATGTGGTAGTACTATGGTAAGAAGAATAGTTGTAGTAATAGGAATTGTGGTAGTGTGTAAAAATTGTGGTAGTTGTGGTGAAAAAGAAGTAATTTAGTTTGTGCTTCTCAATGTGTCATAACTTGTTTCACTACACACTGTTACACCGTGGCCATGTATTAGTGATGGCCACAGATCGTACACGGTGGACATGTATCAGTGACGGCCACAGATCGTACACGGTGGCCATGTATCAGTGATGGCCACAGATCGTACACGGTGGCCATGTATCAGTGATGGCCACAGATCGTACACGGTGGCCATGTATCAGTGATGGCCACAGATCGTACACGGTGGCCATGTATCAGTGATGGCCACAGATCGTACACGGTGGTCATGTATCAGTGATGGCCACAGGTCGTACACGGTGGTCATGTATCAGTGATGGCCACAGATCGTACACGATGGCCATGTATCAGTGATGGCCACAGGTCGTACACGGTGGCCATGTATCAGTGATGGCCACAGATCGTACACGGTGGCCATGTAACACCATAATTACCCTCACTCATCAGCGACCCTCATTACCCCTCGTTATTATCAGCTAACATCATCATCACCCTCCCTCTCTCCCTCTCCCCCACCCTCCCTCCCTCTCTCCCTCTCCCCCACCCTCTCTCCTTCTCCCCCACCCTCCTCCTCCCTCCCTCCTCCCTCCCTCCCTCTCCCTCCCCACCTCCTCCCTCCCCTCCTCCCTCTGACCCACCTCCCTCTCCCCTCTTCACCCCTCTGACCCACCTCCCTCCCTCCCCTCTTCACTCCTCTGACCTACCTCCCTTCACCCCCTCATCTCCTCGTTCAGTGATCCACCTCCTCTCTATCACTAACTGCTATCTCTAAATAACCAATAATAAGTCCTTCTCACCTTGTATTTACTGGTTATTGTCCTTATCTTAATTTTCCTTGTAATCGCTTTCTTTACTTCGGTCTTGTTAGGGGGTTCAAATATTTCTTCTTTTTTCTCTAATTCCTTCGTTTATTCTGTATTTTATCTTCCCTTCAATTTTATATCTGTTTTTGTTGCTATTTTTATCACGACGTCGATTCTGCCCGTCCTTGTAATGCTCATAATGACGTACGGTAATTTTTTCTCGACTTTAAAGTGAAGATAGTTAGTTAAACGGTGTGTAACTAACTGCCCGTAACTAGCGACAAAAGTTGGTGGTGGGAAGGATCTTGTCGACTGAAACACATTAAGTCAAGGGAAAGAATTATTGTTGGATCACCTGAAGATTAGACGCTTCAATATATTTCACCAGATAATTAACATTTTTGGTTGTACCTGTCGGGAGGTTAGTTTAGTTTCGACGTAAGAGAACATAGTTGATAATTAAGATATATGTGACTCTTGTGTCTTTACTGTGTAACTTACCTGTATGTAACTTAATTAGTGTCATTTGACCTGTTATGTACCCTAGTAAACCTCCCTTGTACCCTAACTACCCCACTGTACCATAACAACCCCCCCCTCCCCCTCCCCCACCCCCAACTACCCTATACCTTTAATAACACATCTTATTCCTCCTCCTGCAGGTGGGTGATGCTGTGTGTGTCGTGGTTACTAAGGGCGTGGCGCTCCTGGACCCACGATCAGATTCTGAGACACTCTTCGTGGTTCCATGTGGCGGCGTGGGGCGTGCCAGCTGCTCAGGCCATCGTCTGCCTCGTCCTCAGGAAGGTCGACTCTGATGAACTAACTGGTGAGTCAACTGGTGATGTTTATTGTACTGGTGACCTTACGTGTGTGTTTGATTATTCCTCCTCCTCCTCTTCCTCCTCTTATTCTTCCTACTGCTCTTCCTTCTCCCTCTCTTACTCCTCGTTCGCCTCTTATGACTCCTCTTCTTTTCCTCACACAGCCACAAGGACTAGTGTGTGTGTGTGTGTGTGTGTGTGTGTGTGTGTGTGTGTGTGTGTGTGTGTGCGTGCGTGTGTGTGATATTTGACATTTCCTGCTGTGGCGGAGAAGGAAGTGGAAGAGGAGGAGGGGAAGAAGGAAGAGGAAGGGAGGTGTATGGTAGACTAGAGGCCGGTTGGTGTCTATAACAGGGGAGGGGGGAGGGGAGGGGAGGGGAGGGGGACTTGGGTATATTTGTGCTGGAGTGTTTGGTTGGTGAGGGACAACAACCCCCCCCCTCTCTCCATTACCCCTAACTCCCCTTTTCCCTCACTCTATACTTTGTCTCACCCCCCCTCTCCTTCTATTCTCTCTCTTATCTCCCTTCTCCCTCCTCTTCTCTCCCTCACTCACCTTCTCAGTCTTCTTCCCCCTTATTTCTCTGTTATGTTCCTCTTTGTAATTTATTGTTGACTATTAAGTGAACATTCCAGTTATTTTTATGCAAATGAGTTATTGTTGTCCGTCTGTGAGTTACGAGTTGAGTGAGTGAGTTACAACCAACCTCTAACTTATTCTGTAGCAAACAAAACCCTACAAACTAAATTATGTAGGAGTGTTTACGTGTTTACTGAATGCTAATGAAGAGTGGTTTAGTATCTGATGTTAATTCCTTCATTAATGTCGTAAGAAACATTCGATTTATCATAATTCTAATATATTTTATTAGATTGATCAAAGTTTTTACGGCAACAAAGTCAGTGGAAAGTGATTATGAATGTCGACGCTTGTGTACAAACTTTCCCTAGACCAAACTCTGGGTTAGGAATGTAAACACAGGCGTTAGTCACTTGTTTCCCCAACATTCAACTCGATTGGCGGGAAACTCCAGGCGGGCTAAATAATTCACTCTGGTCCGGGGGAATTCTTAATGATTCGTACTTGTTTATTTACCCGCAGTTACTAAGAAGCGTCTAATTGGGCTATTAAATCTAAGGCATAATTAGACAGTTAAAACATCATAACTATTACAGTAAGATCCCCCTGTTATCATTAGCGTTCTGGTAGTCACACTTTTGGAGAGACAATGAACGAACGAATCATTGAGAATCTGAACCTTGTGATGATGATGGCAACTTCACCAGTTCGTAAGACAAACAACGGTAAAACTTGAGCCCTGGGGACCCCAACTCTCAAGATTCTTACGGTAATATCTTCCTAGCAACAGAGATTGTGTGAAAACGTCTTGGTGAGGTAAAAGTCTTCAGTATAATGTCATAAAAGGCCATGTGGGAGACCACCTCTGTGTCGTACAGTGAGAGTTTTAACTTACGAACCTTTGTGAAACGTGTTTATGTCGTAGTTTAAGTGAGCCAGTTAACTATTTTTACTTTGTGTTTATTTTTATCATATTCTATGTTTGAGGAGAGAGCGCTGGTGAGTGGAGGAGGCGGTGGGTGGGAGAGGGAGGGGCATGGTGGTAGAGGGAGGGGGCGGTGGTGGGAGAAGAGAGTGGTAGTGGAGGAGGAGGGCGGTGGGTGGGGGAGAGGAGAAATATTTAAACTTAGGAACCTTTGAGAGAATCATGGCTCAGAGCTTTCCCAGTCCGAGCGAATGTTTAACTTACTAGCAGCAAATATTTACCTTTGGACTAACTACCACACGGGGTATGTCCAGTGGTCTTACCTCCCTCTCTCCTTCACGCCTCCTTCACGCCTCCTCTCCCTCCTTCACGCCACCTCTCCCTCCTTCACTCCCCTCCCTTCCTCATCCCCCTTCGTTTGTTTATCATTCTTTCTCTCCCCCAGACAAGGAGAGGATAAACATGGATAATAATGATGAATATACATGGGACCAGAAGAGGCCTTGGTCGATGAAGCTGTTTATTCTACCCAATTTAGGCTTCGGGGTGACACTGAGTTGAGCTTCACTTGACACACAACCCAGGCTTCATAACACACTCCACCCAGGGGCTTCCATGACACACTCCTTCCCAGGGGCTTCCATAACACACAACCATAGAGGCTTCATACTCACTCACTAACCCAGGCTTCCTTGACACACTCATAACCCCAGAGCTACTTGACACTCACTTAACCCACAGAGCACTTAACCTCAAACCCCAGAGCTTCACCTCTGCACCTCCCCAGAGCTTCACTTGCACACTCATACCCCAGAGGCTCACTGACACTCATAACCCCAGGCTCATGACACCTCTAAACCCCAGGCTTCCATGACACACTCAATCCAAAAAACCTCACAGACTTAAGCCAAAACACCCCAAGACTAGGTCCAGGAAAAAATCAGACTTTTCCAAAACCTCAGACAAAAACACAAGACTTACACTAAAACTAATTAACACCAATAACCACAACCCATAAACCCCAGAGACACCCACCGCCCCTACCCCCCACAAACCCCCCCAACCCCCCCCACAACCCCCCACAACTTTATCCAGGTTAGGTTGTGTATTGGTGATATTAAGAGTATTGACTGTAGTTAGATGTGTGTGTGTGTGTATTTTAATGTGTGATTATATTCTCATGGGAGTTCAAGTTAATATCGATAAGTACATGAAAGGTTGACCAATATATCTTGTGAATTGTGAATGAGTGGGAGGGGAGGGGAGTTGCGGACCAGTCAGCTAAATTAGTCCTCAATTTCACCTTAGCTCATCTTGTGTGTGATTTATGACACCGTTCGGTTGATAGTGATGTTGTTGTTGCTGGTGGTTGAGGTTGGTGATTGTAGGTGTGATTGTTGTGGGTTTGGTTGAGGAAAAGTGGTGGTGGTGGTAGTGATGATGATTGTTAAGGTGGTGGTGGTGTGGTGGTGGTAGTGATGATGATTGAAGGTAGTGGTGGTGGTGTGAATTGTTAGTGTGGTGGTGGTGGTAGTGATGATGATTGTTAAGGTGGTGGTGGTGGTTGTTGAGGTATAGTGGTGGTGTTGTGATAGTGGTTGAGGTAGTAGTTGGGATAGTGGTAGTGGTGGTGGTAGGTAGTTCCTTGTGGCCCTGCTAGTGGGTGTAGAGTGACTGATGGAGGTTGAGGGGCAGCTTCAAGTGGTACTCAACGTGGGCCTCGACTTACACACACTCAGACACTTCAAACGCACCTCAAACACACTCTTAAGACACCCTTCAAGCACACCTCAAACACACACACACACACCAAACCCACTCCTAAAGCACACCTCAAACACACTCCAGAACCGCACCTCAAATAAAACACTTAAAACACACTCTAAAACACACTCCCAAACACACTCTAAAACACACTCAAACACACTCCAAAACACACTCCCAAACACACTCTAAAACACACTCCAAACACACTCTAAAACACACTCCCAAACACACTCCTAACACACTCCCAAAACCTCACCTGAAACTCTCCCATCTGTTGAGTATAATGGTAGGAAGCGGGTACAAAAACCTACACTGTAATCTCATTGTTATTTAGAAGCATTTTCCTGTATTTTATGACACAAGGAAGGAATACATGAAGCAATAGTCTTATAATTAAATGAATATCGTGTAATGTATTGGACACAAGTGGGAGTATAATTTCTATTCATATTTGGGAGGGGGGTATTATACCTTGCTGTTATAGGTGTGACGTAAGGAGTATAATTTGTATCAATTTTTGTTATTATACTTTACTGTGTTATATTATTTGACGTGAACAGAATTATAACCAGTAGATTAATTATTATACTATACAGTCTAAAAAAATATCTCTACCATATTATTTGAACAATATGACACAACGGACGAAGGATTTCAACAATACATCAGTCGACCTCCGTAAACATACTTATTTTGATGGGCTGTACGAAGCTAGATGGACTTATAACACCTAACCTAACCTAACCCTACCTAGCAAAACTTAACCTAACTTCTTCTAACCTATTACCAACCTTTGTCTTAGAGATGATTTAAAAGGTAATATTGTCAAATTATTAGGAGTATGTTTTATGTTTAGCCAAAGTGACGGAGGAACACATCAATAAAGTGTTAACAGTATGCTGGGTAGTTAGGGGTAGTTTGGTGGGTTAGTTAGATCTTAGATAGTCTTTATTACTACTACTTCTCTTGTCTTTTTGTGTTTTTTTTAGTTATTTATTATATGATTCTTTTGTTTTGTGCCCCCCTCTCTCTCTCTCTCTCTCTCTCTCTCTCTCTCTCTCTCTCTCTCATAATAAGGTTGGTTCAGTGTAGCCACAACAACACCACACATTCTCATCCTTACACACTCCTCACACACACACACACACACACACACGTGCGTGCGCGTGTGCATATATGTGTGTCAGCAGTTGGACACAATCACTGGGCGAATCAGACAGAAGATTCATAAAGTCAGGACAAAGTGGCCCATATATAAGGGAGAAGAGACATGAGGGCCGGACAGTATACCGCTCGGCTAGTGGACACAAGATTTACCTTCCGATAAGTCGCAATTGCTCGTAAATCGGACCGAAAATCCTCATAATTACACCATATATTTTTTGTTGGGGGGTGTTGTGGGCTTTAATGGGAATAAGTGACAAATAAACCATAATATACGATATCTTTACTGGATTCTCGTAGATTCTGATGTGAGAACGGATCTGACTTAATTCACTCAATACATAAATAACATAATAATGGCGTCCAATTTGCTATGAGACTCTACTAGGATGACATATATATAAGCTAGAGAACAAGATTTAATGTTAACAAAAAAAAATGATATGCTTTGGTCATGTAGTGAGGAGGTGATGGTAAATGTGGTACTGAGTTGAGGGTGGGAAGGAGGAGGAGGTCAAGGTGGGGGGAGGAGGTAAGACTGGGATAAATAAATGGAATTAAAATCTGTG